GGGGGGGGGCTTTCAAATGGGAAGCTCAATGGCGGCCTTGGGCTATCAGCGCTCACTCACTGAGCGGTGACTGCGCCATCGAATAGCACCGCTCCTTTCTGGGTGAAGCTCAGAATGTGCGAGTTGCTGCGAGAAGGCAGGAAGAGGAAGTGGTATTATGAGAGCGGTGCCCGCATCATGACATACTTGGTTCAAGGTGGTAATGCCAAGACAACTAGCTAGGAGATTCTGCGCTAGTTACCTGTAATAGACCTTCTTAGCACTGGCCTAGGTCAGATAGACCGAATTCCGATGAAGCTAGGAATTGTGCTATGTTTTTCATGTTTCTTCTCCTTTCGGTTATTTCCTCATTCCTCGAGTCATTTCCTCAGAAGAACAGCTCTGTGATCAAGGCTTGCTTTCAGATAAGAAATGAAATTGTTAGCAGTTGTTGTACTTTTGGTCAGCGTTCTTGCCGTATCAGCACAATTTGGATTCGGAGGAATGGGAATGGGTACGTTCTTTTGTAAAATCGCTTATGCTGAATGTTTTTTTTTCAATTCCCCGCATTCTCTGTGATTCTGACTGATTCCAGGCATGCTTCCTCCACCACCTCCTCCACCACCAATGTACGGAATGGGCGGCTACGGTGGAATGGGTATGGGTGGATGGGGCCGTCCAATGGGAGGCTTTGGATGGGGGAGGTAAGGAGCTTCAACTACCGCCTGCTCATCCTGCTCACTGATCAAAACCGTGTAATACATCGATTCCAGTTCAAATGATTGTATTATTTGTTCTATGTGTTCTGTAATAAATAGTATTGATTGAACGGCATTATTAAACCTACCAACAGATGTATCTTAGAGAATGTTTGCTTATTTATGTATTTATCGCTCAACTATTTATCTATGGCGCGATGGGGACATACTGCGTATCTGATGCTAGAACTACACTACAAAACGAGAAGAATGTTTGCTCAGGGATACATTTTGCGAAAGTCACGTGGGCGAAGGAGCGGGTCGTTGCTCATGGCCCTTGTACCGTAATTGTTGTGAATTCACAACCATTGAAATAGTGCATATTATAGGACTATCATATAAGAGTGAGTGATAACGGTGTAGTTCAGCATATATCATACCAGTCGGATCGCCCGGCTCACGCCCAGCTCTCCTCCTTTTCTTTAGCCCGGCTTCGCCAGGCTCGCTCCATAATTTCGGAGCGTTTTCAATAGTGGGCTGCTCATACGGCGATGTAGTGATCGAATCGTAGCAGATAGAGCAAGGCTTGGGATCGTGCACTACTTAGCACAGGCTTCTATTTGCAGCAGGGGTGTGGTCCGCGCCATTACGCCCATACAATACATAAATCTGTAGATATAGATACAATGTGTAGTCGGCCAATACAGGGCAGTTGAATCGCTCAGTAAAAGAGCAGATTTCGTTTCCATTACCTGCACCGAAATGTCTACCGATCTCCCTTTTCAATTAGCATGCAATCCGCTCGCTGAAGTATGACTATTAAAATGTATTATGAGCCCTTTGTTATTCGTTCT